GGCAGAGGGGATCTGGTAGGGTGATTGGGGAGGATCTTGAAGGGGTCTGGGGGAGAATGGGGGTCTTCAGGGGATGCGGGGATCTTGGGATCTGGGGGATCTTGAAGGGGTCTCAGGTGGGAATGGGGGGGTCTTGAGGGGATCTCGGGTAGCAATGGGGGTCTTGAGGGTGAATGGGGGGGTTGAATGAATCTCAGGTGGCAATGGGGGGTCTTGAATGGATCTTGGGGTGAATGGGGGATCTTGAAGGGATCTGGGAGGGGAATGGGGGTCCTGAGGGGATTTGGGGGGGTCCTTGAGAATGAATGGGGGAGCCTTGAGGGGATCTGGGGGGAGTAGGGGGGATCTTGAAGGGCAGAAAAGCAGGGTCTTGAGAGGATCTGGGGGTGTGCCTAGCCCCCTGCCCAGTAGGAGGTGGGTGCAGCCCGCTGGTACCTGCTCACATTGTTCGGGCTTGCAGCCAGCTGAGGGTGAAGGGTACGGCTCTGTTTGCAGGGAGAGATTGTCTCTTTCCCCCCACCCCCTTTCCTTCCCCATCTCCCCTCATTTATTTATTTCCTGCCCCCAGGGCCAGTGCAGTTAGCCTTCACCCGAAATCGAGGGGTTACAGACTGGGGGGAGGGGGGGATCAACACTGCACGCACGCTGCTGGCCGGTGTTGCAGCAGAGCGGCAGGCCTCTGAGGCTTTTCCCGGCACGGTCTGGGCAGGCTGTGCTGGCAGGTGCGCCCTTGGGGCGTGGGAGCTCTGCAGGCCGCTCGTCTTCCTGGGATGATGCCGTTTATTGTATTTATTTTTGAGAAGGTGTGAGGGGAGGGGGAGCTGTCATTGCCTGTGCGCGGCAGGGCCTGCTATCTTTTGTGTGTTGTTTCAGATGGTGGACGTGGAGGTTTGTGCCGGTGGAGAGAGCACCCGCAGAAAAATGGATGCCCTGACAGATAGTGCCGTGGAGATTGTCCCTTTGGAGCTCTATGATTCCTCCAGAGCCAAAATAGCTGCTAATCTACAGTGGATCTGTGCTAAAGCCTATGGAATAGGTAAGATCCTTTTCTGCCGGCAATTGTTCTTGTTTCTATTCTTGCCTTTTCTGTCTCCCCTGCTATCCCAGATGTAATTAAATTAGGCTTTGTTTTAAATAGAAGTAATGTGTCAAACCTGTTCCCTGGTCAGTCTGGTGCTTCCTAGTGTTTTTGACAGGAATAAAGCAAAGAATCTGAATAAATAGGTGTATGAGGAAACCTCATTGTGAACAACACAGATGATAATTGTGACTGATGCGTACTTCTAAAGATATAGTATCGTGATGTTTTTAGTGAAGAAGATTCTGCCCCACACATCTGTTGTGTTGCCACTTGAAAACCTGGGGCCTGTGTAGGCCTCTGTGATTCCTTGTCTAGTCATCTTGGCAGGTTTCTGATGTGCTAGCTTCTGATCTATCACATTAGTTTGAATTTAAAATAAAAATACTGTGGTTTGTGAGCTTGGTAGTAATAGCCTACAGTTTATTTTTCAAAGTAAGGAAATCTATTAATGAATTATAGCTGTCTTTATCTGTATGCTAAAATACAGAAGTGGAGGTAGGATATAAGAGAAAGAGGTTCTTTTGTAAACTGTCTTTTGTCAGGAAGCATTACCATACAAAGAGGGTTTTTTTGATGGGGGAGGAGAATATTGAGGCACTTTTGCAGTGTTTTCACAGGCATCTGCATTTTATTTATTTATTTATTTTTACATTGCAGTGGATCAGTCTGTTTTCAGTTATTGTTGCTTGCTGCATTTTGAGTGTCTATAGCTAGACGACATATTCAACATGATTGAATACTTATTTCTGTTTAACCAATAAAGTGCAATAAAAATGTGCTTCTGTTTTGGAAAATTAGATAACCCTGTTAATCTAACTCTAATTTGCCAAATTCTAATATGCTTAGTGGATTAACACTAGCTTACTTTGTGACAGGGCTGAGCAGAGCAATCCATTCCTGCAGATAAATATTTTAGACTGTTTCAGCTGGGATATTTAATAAGTATATCCGGTACTGCTAGTAATTTCTCTTATCTGTCTGTGGATAGTACCTACAAAAAGTAGAAAGAGGACTTTTGGTGTTGTAACCTGAATGTAATTTTTTCTTCTTATCCTAGGTGTAAAGGTAAGGTATTTCATGTATGTGAGGTATAAAGGGCAGAATAACAGCAGGGTGAGGCTTTGTATAAAAAAAAAAATGGACTCTGGGGAGTTAACATAATATAAATGTTGACTATTGCTGTCACTGATAACTGGATAGTCATGAAGAATAAATGGGTGTTTTCCTGTATGAACACATTTCAACAGCTAGAATAGTTTATAATACTTAATTAGGACCTTTTTAGTGAGTGGAAATAAAGTGTGTTTTGTAAGTTGTGTAGGTTCCTTATTTATATTTTGGCTTTGCTTCAAAAGAGGGCTCTAATTCTGCACCAGAATTTGGGTAGAAGAAGTGATTGTCCTGCCTTTGCTTTTACATTGACCTCAGTGAGGTTCCTCATAAGCTCAGGGATCTGCTGGCATGCTTGTACCCTTCATCAGCTGGACAGATCTGTTGTATGCATAGTTGGGAGAGCTAACTTGAATAACAGTGTTAATTGGCCTAAAACTTACCATTGGCCTAAAAATACCATTATTATTACCGTTTATTATTGGTTAACATTAATATAGCTTTACTGACGATAGGAATGTTGGGATATGTTGTGTAGCGAAGTCTCCTGTTGCAGCAGGCAGTTTTTGCACTCTGTTGTTTGGGATGGTTTGGCTCACATGTAAATAACAGAATTAAATGCCAGCAGGAGCATTATATTCCCAGTGTCTCTCGTTGTTACTGATGATTGGGTACAATAGGACTAGGAATAGGGGAGGACTAAGAACTTAACTAGGACTCCACTAGTGATTGTGCCCATGTTAATTCTGGTTAAATCCTGAGGTATTGTATGGTATGTGCTTAAATTGTTTCTCATTTAGCTAAGCTTTCTGTGTTTACCAAAAATAGTGGTTTATTTTCGTTTCATGAAAGAAATTGGGCCATGACAAATAATTTGCTTAGGCATTGAAATCTTTCCTGGGAAAAGGGATGGATGACTTAAAGATGCACTTCTCCTTGAGTTTACTTAGCTCTGTCCACTGTCCTGGAGGGGAGAGTTTGGGCAGCCAAATTCCCTTCCACCAATACCCTGCATCTGAAATGATGGATAAGGACGAAACCTTCCTTTCTGTAGAGATAGGAGTTTGACTTGTGTGTATGGTTGCTACCTTGCTAGCTCTGCTCTCTGACAGTACATATCCTCAGCTGGATCCCGTAATAACTGCCCAGCAGAAATTTGGGAATAGAGCATGGAATGGTACGGTGGACGGAAATGTTTACCCATTTTTCCTTCCCTCTGCAAGAAGTCAGGGAGTGGGCATGGTGCTTCAGATAAACTACTGTGTACTCTTCTTATGGACTTAGTCGTTGGACACCTATGTTTTTTAACTTTATAGTACAACGCTGGTTCCCATTTTATGTCTGTTACTTGTACTGTAAAAAAAACAAACCCAACTGCTCATTTGCATATCATTTAAGTGCCTAAAGTGCTTGAGTTCATAAGAACTCCCTGAGCTCACTTTCTGTTTGGTAACTTGTTCTACCGTTGCAGGTACCTGTTTGGTAAAACTGTCAAGGAGCCTTCAGTTTCAAGGCCTCTAGAGCAGTGGTTCCCAACCTTTTTAGATCCCGACTGGCAAACTGCGGACCAGCATACTGGACAGAAGTGACCGGCATGCTGCGGACCCGCAGCCAACCCTTTTTTATACTCGGTATAAAAAAGGGTTGGTATGGGAAAGGTTTAGCTGCCAGTCTGCAATATGCCAGTCCCTCCCGGACTTCCCATCCGGCAGCCGACCCTTTGCAGCCCAGTACTAGGCCATGGCCCACGGGTTGGGAACCTCTGCTCTATAGCAACCTTTGCCCTGTTAGTTGCTAGGGTGCTTTTAGAGGCTTTTGGGTCTCTGAGAAACAAGCTAAGAAACTTTAATGAGGTGTGGAAAGCTTAGTACAGGCTGTCTTTGTAGTTATTGAGTGTTGTCTACCTTGAGTTTGGGTAAGTGAATAGATTTTTCAGGCCCAGGGCCTTGCGCTTAAATGGAGTACACTGTTCACAAGAATGAACAACGAGAAGACTTCTTTCAGCAACCCTAAAGGAAATCTTGTCTAGGCATAATGCACTGAATCCGGGATGGAGTTTATTTGGTTTGAGTCCCTTTTTTATCAATAAACCATGCAATTTAAGCAGGAAAGGGTTCTGGTGAGAAGCATTTTGAAAATCATGCTTTCAGAGCCTAGGAGAACATATTTTTTCAACTCTTAGTGGGATTCAAGTTTCTTAGTTATTTAGGCCCTTCTGAAAATCTTACCTAAAACCTTTATGACCAGTTAGAGGTTTTAGTGGAAGCTGACAGATGACTGACAAGAGTACTGCTGTTCCAGAGTAGTAGAATGAGCTGTGTTTCCAAATAGTAATAATAAGAGGACCACGTATGGAAAAGTCACAGTTGTTGCTTTGCCCAGCAGTAGGACAAAATGGGTCTGATCTCTCGGTTTTCCCTTTAGGGCTCTGAATGACAGTAAAACTGACAAAACTGGTCAGTTTTCATTCTGTTGCCTCTTGGAGAAGCAGTGAGCAGTCACAGAGACGTTTCAGCTTTCTGCAGATTTAGGAAGAAAATACCCCACCAGTTTACATTTTGGAAAGTTGTTTTAATTGCCGTTGAGATTCAGATTCTTAATTCTTTAAGCAGAAGTTAAGAATGCAGAAAAGTAAAAAGGGTCTCATCTGTGAAAGTTTACACTTGCCCTGAACAAGCATGTCTTTCAGTACCTGGGCTAAAGCAAATACTGTCGCCTCTTGTCAGGTGGGGGAGCAGAGCAATAAAGGGACTTGGCTGCACATATTAGAGTCGAGTGGATTGTGCATAAAGCTGGGAGTTAGATCTGGATTCTTAACTTGGTTTTGAAAGTTGCCTGCTGTTCTGTGTCTTGGTGAGGGTCACTCACAAGCCTTTGCTTTCCTGTCTGTAGGGCAGCTGTGATACCTATGTAAAACATATTAATTGTTACATAGAGGAAAGTGTTGCTACTAGTCAAAGATGGAATGAACTTTCTGCTTCGCAGCCCATGCTACGTCCGCTAGATCATTAGATTTCAGATGCGTTCTCTTTTCTTCCTTCGGGAGAGAGGAATTCCATGATAATTATTTTATTTATTCTACGTCTGCCAACACTTCTGGAGTTCAGGTTTTTAGTTTGAGCAACAAATGCTGCGATTTTTCATTTGTATTTTGTTTTGACAATAGGATTAGATGATTGTCCTATCCACCTCACTTGAAACAATTGGTAACAATTGTTGTCCCCCTGACTACAGGCAGTTTTTTCCTCTCCTACACTAATATAGGATACAAAAAGCAAGTATCTGTAACGTGATTATTAGAATTAGGACATCTCTAATTGGTCTGGAAGCCAAGCTGAAATGGTTTCAGACCATTAGGTGGACAAAGCCTTAATTGGAGGGTATATAATTAATTTCCTGTCACATTTTAACACACCTGAAAGCATATAAATACAGCATCTACTTGAATGATTCTCTGCAAATGAATTGATTAAGAACGTTAGTTCAGACAGAGTTTTGCTCTGATTTTTGTTTCTGTGCAGTCAGTTTTTTATGCTACCACAGCTCAAACATTTTGCTGGCATCTACTTCTGTACTTCAGATAACAAGTCAGACGGTTCAAACTGCTGCATTTTTAGCTGGTATCCAGGTAACCACCCTGGCATTGATTTTTATTTATTTATTTATTTTTTTTGGTATGTGAAATGGTAAAGAAATACCTTTTTTAAATCTCCAGCTGGGTGGAGGGAAGAGTCTTGGAAGATTTTAATATCAGACTGCTGTTGAATTCAAAGTTTTTTAAAAGTACTCGAGTAACTTAAGTCGTATTAAAATTTATTTGCACTTTAGTACTGCTCAGTTTTGGA